CTTGGCTGGAGATGACGCTGGCAGCAGTCCGACACACGGGTCTATAAGGAAGTAACCACCTTACATCCATTTAACTGCTCTGTCAAGCGTTCAGGCAACCTGTCAGCAGAAAATGGAATTGATTGTTTGTGACCGAAGTGATACTCTTCGTGGTATTTTCGCCATTCAGAATGTGGAGTTGTGGTGCTGGACGTTTCTCAAACCGGAATGCTGAGCAGCAAGAAAGCAGCGTATACTAAAAGCGGTAGCCGAATACTTGCGCCGTAAGATGCTTTAACTTTTCAATTTTCCTAGGCATGTGATCATCTTTCCCTTGTCCTTTTTATGAGAGTGCTTATCTTTTCGTAAATGGACCGAATGCTAAACGTATACCGGCTGACAAGAGCAAAAAACTGAAGCTGTGATTGCTTGGGGTCTATTGATTTCCTCTTTGATTTTTCTTCCTGAGATGCCAGCCCCTTGCCACTACTATTTCCTCTATTATCAATTTATCATTTCAAATCATTTTATTGACCACTTGCAGGACTCAGCATCTGTTTCCACCGTTCAGTGGCCTGTGTCCATGGCCTCTGAAGCTCGCCAGCGGCCGCGGTCAGAATATTTCGGTAGTGCGGGAACGGAGCGGGATGCGGAAATAGACGACCTCCCCTCTGTCGTGCTTAGTTCCAATTCCTTTTCCGCCGCTTCTAAGTCCTCCATGGTTGACTTTGTTGAGGTGTCCCCAGCCTCTATTGGCCTGTACTTCGAGGATGGCAGCTATACAGTGATGTCTTTCACTTCAAAAGACATGTTCGTCAACTGGTTGCAAGTTCTCTCCGCTGTTGTAGCCGTAAATCGTGTTCGCCGCTCCTTCCCTCACATTGGTAGGTTGAATTTCAATGAACTCACATTCTCAGCCCCTGATTATACTTGATTTCCCCACCACAAACCAACTGAAGGAATTAGAGACCACTTGCCCTATTATATATTCAATCAAACACATTTTAAAATCGCCTTTGCCTTTATAGCATTCACATGTCAACCAGCTATCGCAAATTTTATGTAACAATAATTAATAACTTCGTATCCTTACCAACGCGTCACTGCTTTGTGCAGGACCGTTCAGCCCCTGATCGAAAACTTCGAACGCTGACCCAATGCACCCTCGTCATCCTCCTCTTCGTCTCTTAATGTCTTTCTTTCCGATACTTTCGTCTTTAGACAGTCAAATAGCAGGAGACTGTGCCATAAACGCAGGGTTGAAGGGTGCCCAGTTCTGTGATTGTTCATATGATAGATCCATCCAGTTCTTTACTGAAAGCAGCCAATAACATGTGCCATTTTGGATGCCCCGTGCCATCGAGGCATCATAAATATCAGCGACTCTCCAAGCTTCTTTTAATTAAATCATCTGCCATCCTATCCACCACTGTTTGTTTGGATCACCCGACCATCCAAGGAAGTGTAGGACGACACTTCGCATTTGTAACTTAAAACTTGGCGCTTTCGTAAAATAGATTTTGCCTACGTCAATGGTTCATTGATTAAGTTACACGTTTTTAATTTTCTGCTTCACAAAACGTTACCTTATTATGACCTAATACATCAGGCAGTTGGCATGCTGATCTGCAAATTGACATACTTACTAAAACCATGTGTGATAATTTGTTGTGCTTACAAAGCGAACTAAAACAAACTAGTGTGTGAAGCGCAGTTCATCCGCTAATTTATTTCGCGCGTTTTTCGGCACTCTAATAAATGATTTATCGCTCACCGACATTGCATGGTTCATGCTGGCATTTTGATCGATGTTTAACAATAATGCGTGTCGAACGTGGGCGACACCTCTTTCTCCTGGTCCGCAATATATTTCATTTGCTCTTCCGCTCCACCGGCACACGAATGGAAGATAAATGTTTTGTCTCTCGCTGATGTCGGTTTTCTGACGTCAGTGTAGCATGCGACGAAGGCATGTGGTTACATAATAACACGTGATGGGAGTGAATTGTTTGTCACTAGGTATTTTTGGGATTGAAGGAATCCGATACGCGGTTTTGAAGTCTTGGTTTTCGCGTTCCTGGATGAGAGATCATACTGAGTATCTTCCTCATCGATTTCTTGTCTCCTGTACCCCTACCCGCCGAATATATTTTCTGATTATTTTTTGCCCGCCCTCTCATTTTATGCACGGCGCA